CAAAATTTCAAATATATTGTCTTGAGAGGACTAAAACACACTATTCTCAAGCCGCGATTTTCTTTTTTCAATAACCATGAACGCTTATCAGGAGGACCGATATGTTTATGTCCATTAGGAAGATGCTAGACAAGAGGTTAAACGATGTGACTAACAACTGATGGGTAATTCGTGTTTGCTAGGAGCTACGAAAGAGAAACGTTCTTGCTCAATAGTTTCTGTTCCTGCAGAATTTCAGCGTATGAAACCGACGATTATTACACGGTTGAGTAGAGGTTGCATGCTTGTACATAGTCTTGTTGAGACTGAAGTAGTTTACTTCTTCAGCAAACTAAAAATAAACTAGCTAGATATTCAATGCTGATGTTGATCATGTTAGCAACGCTTTGTACACTACTAGTTTAGAGCGTCCAGTCAAGCACCATCAAACGATCACGTCTCAACTCATTTTGCAATCCGCTAACTGCGGTTAATAACGACATCAGTGATCATAAGTAAGATACTTCTGCCAAAAATCCAAGTGCATCTTCCCGCTTAATCATCCTCAATTTCTTATTTGTAATATGACTGAAAATAAAGGGCATATTTACTTGGTATCTGTAAGTTTTCTTATCATACTGGGCCGGTGAAATGTTGCTGACCCCTAACCAAGTTATCCGGCAGTTGGGTCACTGAATGTCAAACAACTCATGGACTCCGACAAGGTCAGGGACAACCAACGCGCATCAGCTAGTCGTACGCCATGGCCTGGTCCTTGAAGTGGTGGTCGCACAATATTTTATGTACCCTTTCCTACTGATTTCTTTCCATAATAACGTTCTTTGTTTTATACGGTCTTCAAAGCAGCTGTAGTACCATGACACGACGAAGGGGTAATCCATGTAGGTGCTGACTGTGAGACGTGACTTTGAGGTTGGAATGTCCGTCGCACCACTCCCGTCTAACTGAAGTTGGCCTCTTATCATTCGGCATATATCATCTACATTAGTGATTTACAACCATATGAGTAGTTGCCTTATCGCTCTTTGGTCCACTTGTCGATCATTCGTTGTGCGTACTTATAGTAGACAGTTACATGCAAATTCAGACGTTTGAAACAAATCTTGATTGTGAATTATTCCTACTGGTTCAATGATCACATACTGGAAGAAGGAAAGGTCTCTGAGTGCCTAATGCTTTCTCTTGGTTGGACATTGAAATATTGTATATAACCTCCTGCCTTAATGGTGGGGTTTGAAACCCACGATACTGTGTACGAATGGGTCCCACTTGGCACTTTGGAATTGTCACAAGGTAGATTGTGACAGTTACTGGGTGCCAAACCGGTCAATTCGTTGGACGTCATAGCATCTACACATTAGCATTATGTATACAACATAGTAAGCAATAATTGTTCTACTCCTCTCACTTTGGCTTGTCCATGGACTTACCGGTCTCTGGTTTTTACTTATTTGGCCTGCGATTATCTTGCATCTGATAACTCCTGCGACTAAACGACTCTAATTATCGTTACTTACGTCAACATAATATAGCAGTGATGTGATCAAATTACTGCCATCGCCCCCACATGCCCTAGTACGGCCGAGAGTGGGGCGAGTCCGCTCTCCCTCTTCAAAATGCTCTCACATGGCCACGCGTATATGGCCTCTGCCAGGGAAGTCCTACTCACCGCCTTCTCGTAACGGGGGTGTTGTTTACGAAAATGGGAGGATGAAAAGCGAATGTCCGGCGCTGTAACCGCATTCCAAACCATTCTTCAGTAATAAGAATAGTAGGTTGGCGAACCTGTGTTAATCCTGACAGATTGCCTTACAGTGAAGGTCCTGTTTTTCCTCGAAAATATTCACTGATGGGGCTGATACCACTTGTTCGGGTAAGGCGTCCCAATCATTGACTACTCGATGAGAAAAACGGGACCCACTTTAAGTTTATTAGATCGTGGTTTATGAACCTTCTTGCTATGACCTCGGAGATTGTTAGTGCTGAAGGGAGCAAAAAGATAAGACATATTAACACTCAAATCATAATTAAAGATACGAAATGCCAGTATAAGGTCACCTCGTGTCCTACGATACGACAAGGAGAAAAGATTTAGGCGTTTTAAACGCTCATCGTAAGGGAGTCTAGAAAGACCCTTCACTAATTTCGTCCCTACACGCTGGACACACTCAAGGGAGTTAGTATTCTTTACCAGACACGGGTAGCTGCTTGGATACAGTACTCTAAATGTGGTCTAACATATATGGAATATGAAATTCGGAACATTTCCTCGTCCAAAGATTTAAGCGCTCGGCAGTGACCATAACACACGAAAACCTTTGACAGCGGCGGCTTTGCAATGCGTAGTTGTTTTTAGATCATGACTTAATACTACTCCTAAGTCTTTATGCTCTTGAACGCATGGAAGAGGTTTACCCTCAATAGTGTAACGGTAATTATTACCGTGACCGATGTGCATTAGCACACTCTTCCTAGCATTGATTTCTAAGCCCCACTCTCGAGCCCATCTAACTAAATCGTCTAAGTCAGCTTGAAGATCCAGATGATCAGCCGCACTTTTTATTGTCCTCCAGATTTTTACATCATCCGCAAACAATAATGTCGACGACCTAAGTTACAGCGGCAACTCATTAACGTAGAGAAGGAAGAGCAGAGGGCCTAAGATGGTGTCTTGGGGTACACCACTTTTGACCGGCTTCCAGTCGGATAGCGTCCGATTGACCCTTACTCTGTGTCTGCGGTCACATAAGAAGCTACCTATCCACTCCTGTACAGTACCTATTATTCCGAAGCTCGTGAGCTTCTGCATAAGACCTAGGTGTGAAACCTTATCAAATGCTTTGCTAAAATCTATGAATATCATATCGACAGACAGGCCTTTATATAAAGCTGCTGTCCAATCGTCTCTCGCAATAAGTAAGTTAGTCAAGCATGAACGCTTATTACAAAATCCACGTTGCTCAGGAGCTAATAGATTGTGTGAATTTATGTGGCTTAGCAACCTAATCAAAATGATCTTTTCAAGCAACTTAACGACAATGCTAGCGTACTGGTCTTCTACATCACTTAGACCGTATGGCGAGTTCTTAGTTTTTCTATGATTCTTAGGTGCTTAGTTTTTATCTGGTATTTCTAAAACGCAACCTTGGTGCTACTTAATTTACTATGATCAACAGACAGTGAAACAGATTCTTCTATGAAATAAACAGTATTTCAGTCGAAATAATGTTATCCACACTAAAATAAAACATAACATTAAGGATAGTTTGCATCTGGTTTCTTGAGTTTTGACCATTTCTATTCTTCAGAGATTGCAGTAATCTGTTTACATGCTAATAAATATGGAAAAAGTAGTGAACTTAAATGGACCATATGTAACGATTGGAAGAAATTACTGATCTTTAAATTTGACTAATCCCAATTTTCTCCTCTTTCAGAAACAGCATGAACATTACGAGTCTGACATTAGAGCAGTGACACAAAATCGAGCCCAGTATATATGTCCAAAAGTTCCTAGTCTGTAAAGCAATACCTCGAAACGGTCTTCAAAAATTGTGGAGTGATCTTCAAACTTATTCCGTTTATTGCCTTAACATAACCAGGTTATTGATAGCTGATTATAATATGATCAATTTAAGTCAATGCATGCGTTTCAGAGAAAGGACTTCAGGTGGAATATCGAAGATTGCGCGGGAAGTTTATGCTGATCAGGGAAAAATTATGATACCACAAAGTTCCAGCAAGACTCACTATTTGACCTGGAGCTATCCGAATGACTGCTATACCTAGACGCCTGTGCTCCGGGTTCTCCAACTGGCAGTACGACATCTATCTAACGCAGATTATTTAATTGGTAGTACAAATCATACATGATTACACCCAAGCTGCAATCCATAACCATGTAAGCGAAGATTACGATGTATCTCCTACGCTACCTGCTTTTGACTTTGACATGACCTTACAACTTAACAGGATATAAGCAATGTTTCAAGACGAAACCAGCGCTAGGGTTTAAAAGCTGATGCTACGACGTTCTAAAATATGAGCACTTGGGACAAACAATTTTGACCGATAGATGGACAATTTTTCATGAACAACAAACATCGGTGACTGGACATTTTAAGAAATGTAAACTCATCTAATGTACGTGAAAGCACGAAGTTTGGAAATCTCAAGTATCACATTTATCCTTCCACGGTATCATTCGAAAATCGATCACTCAGAGACTTACGAATTTTGGGATAAAATATCAAACGAGGTAAACATAATTTCTATAAATTGTGAGCAGAAGCATGAAAGGTGCGTAAATCAAAGACATTGTTTCAGTGTCAGGATTTTTATGCTATTTGGGACTTGAAATCAAGACTATCCCCCGAACATCTGACCTCAAACTGATCAGCAAACTAATGTGTGAAGATGCAGTCCTATGTAAGCTTGTTATCAGAGCAAGTTAGCACATCGTTGCCGCAAGCCGTTTCAACATATCCGAACCACTGGCAGGATAAAGCCTCGTGTTAGGAAAACAATATATGAGGTAGTTTGGTGGTGCTTTAACCGGTAATCTAAAATGGCCTAGAATGCTTGACAGAGTATCTGTCTGCTCATTGCCAACCTCCACACGCAATACTAGAGATTATACAACTCAATGCCTCAGGACATAATTAGGTATAGCTCAAAACAGAAAGTTATCGCGATCTTGCAGCAGTTGTTTATAACGTTCTTTATAAGATATGGCCTGCAAAGTGAGGGAAATTTTCCGCGGCTATATTTTTTATCAAACTACTTCTAATTAACTACCATCTCCGTTAATTAGTTCACTATTATGCTTTTCACAATATCACCTCGATGCTCTCTATAAATTAAATCTGTTCATGGATACGCCAAATATTGGAAATCCAATAAAAGATTTAACGATTAATGTACGAGTTTAATGCACAGAAAACGCCATAACGCCTAGGAAAACAATGGCAATTATAGATATCACAGGCGACGCCAGAATTTTACGGAGCGAAGAGGTGAATCATTGGTCTGATGCTGAAAACAAGTTTAAAAAAGTGGGACAAGTATAGTAAAAATAAGAAGCTTAATGTGATTAATAAGTTATATCAGCAAATCATTCTTATTATATCTGAAACAATATTCATTTTATTCTGGATTTTGATCTGATTTCAGTTAATATTTTCGGGGTTACAATACCACAACTCATTTTGACAAATGAAAAAATGTTTTGGTTGAAATATTTGGTATATTTAATTCCTGTAAAGACAAATGTAGATGGTGAAATGCACAACTAATTTTACTCAGTTACAAATGTAGTCGTCAGGGTTCGGATATTGTGGCAAAACGCTATAGTTGTAGAAACCCTTTTGAGGATTCTGAACAAACAATGGCCTTACGCGAGGGATCTCGAATGAAAAAGTTGTGATTAATCTTAAATATGGTACTACTAAAGAAAGTAGTACATGCAATGAGGTTTACGAATTTCGAACTGTAAGATGCTCTACGGTAGATAACACCGTCAGAGATAGTAAAAAAGAAATTGTCTACAAGTTACAGGATTGAATACGTCAAGGAGTTACTATCATTTAAGTCCAAAATGGTTGAATGGAACACAAAACAACTGTACATCAATAAGGCTTACTGATCTAATTGTATCTACTTTTTCAGAAAAACTACTTTCAACGAATGAGCAGAGTAAAAGCTTGTCTTCAGTTATTCGCTAAGAAACTCAAAGGATGACCGATAATTTGCTTAATAAGATTAACAAAGCAGTAAATTTGGTTACGATCAGCACTTGATTTGTGTATTTAATTTAACAACGAAAAAGTCAATTTCTCTAAATCAACAGTACCGTTTTGGGCTGACGCTAAATGATGAGGTCTCGGAAAATAGGACATACATGCATTAGAGCAATAGACAACAGGAAGCATAGCTTTTATACTTACCAAATACCATCATGCATCAAATCAAAAGCTTTATTGATATCTTTTAACTGAAAATGATGAGTGATAAATTGATCAACCTTGATCGTCCCTGATAAATAGTCTTCAACTAGTTTGGGCACTGAGTCACGAGACTTCCAACCTAATATGAATGTTGATAAGCCAAATAAATGTGTGCATTAACAATTGAATATATATATGCAAAAGCAAATAGTTTTATTATATTTAGAATTGACCATCATAATAAATAATCAACTGAATAAGAATCATAGTTTATTTAAACTGCAAAATCGTTGTCAAGTTAACAGATGAAGACTACCTGGTTGAGGTCTAAGTGATTATTGTAACTAATGATTAGAGACTGAGTGACAAAGCTCGAAACACTTTGCCATAGGGTAGATGCATCCGTTCTTTGTCATCCCACAAATTCCACATAATTTTTCTTCATTTTACTAGTTTAAGTGTTCTTGAATTGTGTGTTTGATACTTGACCATTTCGACTTACCATTTATAATATCATTACCTCTAAAACTTTTGGATTTCCATTAACAATCATCTCGTTGTAAAAATGGGGTATGGCAACTTGGACGGTTGTGCATACGTACCAGGTTCTATGTTGCGACTGACTTCCTTGGTTAGTTAGAAGAAAGCTGTAAGAGTTGGCACCTGGAATACGTCGCATACAGCCGAGTGAAGATGGTAACAACAAAGATATTTAACAATTATCACTTCTTACTAACAGCTTAATTGATATTTCACCAAACTTAATGCGACCTACTTTTTGACAATAAGAAGACAAATACATTCGGTAAGCTATTCGCATCGCTATACTCCCCCTAAATTTCTTCAGCTTTTCAACAATTGCTAGTGAACATTAAGCAATATTCAAGTGTTTACGCATTTAGACGCAAACTTAATATAAAATGGACACCAAAAAACTGTTCAGTCATTGTATGTTAGTCAGTTCTATGAAAATCGGTTTGATAACAAAAAAGAGGCACTTTGTAAGATTTCACAAGGCAGTGATCATACTTTATTGCCCAGTTACCGCAACAATGGATAGTATTCTTTATAGAAAGATTTTTAGAGTGAATAGGCTCGATTCAGTGATTATCGAATGCGTTATTTATAACTATTAATGCCGTGCGTCTTGCAAATTAAAAATAAAGTTAGTCTATACCATTTAGAACTGGTTTTTAATTGGTGATCCCAGTGTCCGGTTAGAAGTCATAATAATTTTGGGACAAAATTTCCCCACATCGATTTCGCTTGCTGAAAAGTAGGATTCCTACAATCATATTCATATAAGGACAGATATCTATAAAAAAGCCTTTCTACATATTCGCTTTTAAGTTTTAGATCTCATAAGATCCTGACTTTCGTAGAGCACCTAAGCTTTACTAGATCAATGACATATAGTGTTGAATGAGTCCTACTGACCACATTGTTTGTAGGAAAAGTCAGACCTAGGTGTCTGTAATCACTTGTCAACAAGATAATTATGGGCCTTAGGGTAATGACAATCTTCAGGGAAAGCTAACATTAACGTAATTTGGGTAAAGTTGACACGCAACACAAAACCCGTAGGCTTTAATCAAACTAAGAACTAAATAGAAAAAACCGGTTGCTATTTAGTGGCCGATTAGTAAAGCTTACCTATGAGGAAAGTGAAGATGGTGATGGTGTAATAACAGAGGTCCTACTTAGTTTTTAGGTATTCCTATCACACTAAAATTTAATCACGAAATAAAGCATTTTCGACAAAAGGTTCACTGATTTGATCTTCTAGAAGTGTTTGAACAAATTCATTCTAACACCGAGGTTAGATGCATTATGATAACATTAGTTTTCTTAAAACGATAAGGGAAGTAATATTAGACTACGAACTAATAACTTATCTTGCACTGTCTTAATATCGGTTATTGTTGTAATGACATATTTCTATTTTTTAGGACTAAATAGATGAATAGATTTAGAAAGAGGAATCAAGTTATGTAAGAGCGAGGCCTACGTAAATTATTTGCGTTACAGATTAGGATTACTGATAAACAAACGAGATTTGGACCAATAAAATGAATGAATAAGACCCCGAATGATAAACGAAATGCAATGAGATGTGGATAAGCGATGGCTCCCCAAACAAACAGACCCCGATCGTTGCTGCTACCTTGACGTGGTCAGGCTAGCCAATCATGATGAACCAACTGAGCTATACTGGCTGGAACAATCGTTACTCAAGGTCCTACCATGCCAGACAGGTCGGATGAAGAACGGTAAGATTAAAAGCAGCAAACCCAATATTCGACAGAGAAGTAGTACTGTACAGAGGTGTGATGGCAGTAAGGTGTCTCCTTCAGACAACCAGCATAAAAGCGATGCTGCCTTCCCATAAAGGGTGGGGTGAGAAAAGGTCCACCCTAGGAATACATACCTCGCTTTATCCCGCGAATTTCCGTCTCTGGCGGTAAGGTCCCAACAAGTACGGAGCTGACATGTGTGTAACTGGTCTCAACAGTTGTCCCTCGGGTACTGCGGTCACGCTCTTAGGTCAGTAAAACCATCTTTAATCCAATTTCCCTTTCAGGTACCTCCAGAAGAACTCTTCCATGATGTGGGCAACCGGGAAGTGATAACCGCCCTCATACCCTTAACAACAGTCAAGACCACTGTATTCATAATCAACCTCCCTCTTCAATCCCCAGTATTCCTCCCACCTCGACTTTCAACCCTAAACTCCCTCTTTTCGCTTCCTACTGAAGTGTCACCATGACCAACGATTCTAGTACGCGAAATCCTGTCTCAGATCTACCGAAATTTTGCTCCAAACTACACATTGCATCCGTCAACGTCTGTACCGGTCAGCAGAACTCCTTACTAAAACACTAGGATCTTGTACGATTGATGTATACTGTGTCTCTGAGACACGCATACAAGATCCTAGTGCGGTCATTCACTTGACCTCACCTCGCAAAAACGGAGAGCCGATGAGATATACCCACCGTGTAGTGACCTGATAGCAATTTCTCGTGGACTGACGGGTGTAGGCATAGCATTAAGATGGCTGAACAAGCACTCTTAGAATGGATCCCCACATGGCTCCGTAAGAACTCGGAAGGATAGGGACACATAGTTGCCTTTTCGTCGTTTCTATCTACACTCCCACTGACTGCAGCCCGGATGAAGTGAAAGATGACTTTTAAAGCAAGCTCTCTGAACTTCTTCATACAGCTAAACGCTCAGATATAGTATTCGTAGCAAATGACTTTAATGCCCAGGTAGGTAGCTTAAATCAATCAGAAAGACATTTAGATGGGTATTTTAGTATACCGGCTCAGCGAACAGGTAATGATGATCGTTTGCTGAAACTATAGTCAGACAATCGTTTATTTTTAGCAAACACAAACTTTAAGCATAAGGAGACATCGTCTAACATGGCGACCCCCTACACCAAACCAACGATGGACTCAAAAAGATCATATTGCCATCAGTCATCGTTGAAGAGACTCGCTCATTTTGGAACAACTGAGGTCATACTTAGGCAGCTATGAAAACGAGGTTGACTCACAATTTGCTTCGAAAGATGAACAAAAAGCTGTTGAAACAGCAGCGACATCTGTTATTGATTTAAAGTTACGAAAAACCAGTGGATTCCTGCTACAACTATTGCACTGACAGACTCTCGTAAACTTACCCCATCAGACTCTGAACACAATGACGAGCAAAAACAAGTCAGATCTAGATTAACCAAAAGTCTAAGGAACGACAGTGAGCAGTAGAGGGAAACGAAAGCAAATGAGATGAAAAAGGCAGCGACTGTAGGTTACACCAGACAGCTTTCCAGACTAATAAAAGAAACTGAAATTAAGAAGTCAAGTGTGAGATGACCTCTGAAACAGATGACACAACTGCTCTCAGCCCAGACGTTTAGAACAATGGGAAGAACACTAAGGAGCAGTTTAGCCGGCCTTCAGCTACTCTACAACTACCCACCATTTCTAAACAGCCTGAATGGAACATTGAAGTAGGTCCCTCGACTCTAATTGAAGTTCAAAAAGCTATAACTAACCTGAAATGAGGAAGAGCAGTTAGTACAGACGGATTGGCTCCAGACGTCTTTAAGGATGGTAGTTCAATTTGAACGATTAGGTTGACTAATATTTTACCTAAATCTGGGAGTTGGATGTAATCCCATCAGACTGGTATCAATCACTGATTGTCCCAATATATAAGAAGAGGTCAGAATTACTCTGCCATAACCATAGAGGGATTAGTTAAACTAATACATCATCTAGAATACTAGCCTCAATAATTATTGTGAGCCAGACAAAGAATCGTGAACTGCAAACAAGAGAAAATCAGGCCGGTTTCAGACCTGGTCGTGGCTGCATCGACCACATATTCACCATTCGTCAGGTTTTAGAACACAGAAATGCTTATCGGCGTCCGACAATGATAGTTTTTTCTTGACTAAAAAGCAGCATTTGACTCTGTAGACCGAGAGGTTCCGTGACAGTTTCTGTCATTGAAGGTGTACCTCAGGAGTACATAAACCTAGTGGGGGCTCTTCACTCAAACACCAACAGTCGAGTCAGAGATTATGGCGAACTGTTATCTAATTCTGCACCTTCAAGTGGCATCCGGCAAGGCTGTCCATAATCTTGATTTTTGTTCAATCCCACCATAAACTTCCTGCCGGAAATAACTTTCTCGTCGACTGAATTTTTGGGGATTAGTTTCCCAATACGAGGTCCATTCATCGATCTAGAATACGCAGATGATAGTCTTGTTCGATGAAGACGTTGATAAAATGCCATATTTCGGTAGCACTGAGTAGCAATGCCAGGATATCTGGGATGCGTTCCTCTCCCTCTAAATGCAAGTCGTTTCTTCAGGACTGGTCTGCATCAACACCTGAACTAAGGATAGGGAGTGAAGTAGTCGAACGCGTTGACAAATTCACTTATCTTGGAAGTCTAATCAGCCCTTGTGGTTTAGTGTGTGACGAAATCTCAGCACGGATACAGATGGCTCGACTAGCTTTTGCCAACTTGCGTCATTTATGGCGTAGGCGAGATATCCGTCTATCAACCAAAGGACGGGTTTACTGCGCAGCAGTTCGTCTCGTCCTTCTTTATAGCAGTGAAACATGGCCGGTAAGAGTAGAGGATTTTGTAGGTTACTAGTATTTGATCATAGGTGTCTTCGAAACATTGCTCGTATATCCTGGGACCATCGAGTAAGTAACACAGTTGTTAGGGATCGGGTACTAGGTAAGGATGGCAAATCAATTGATGAAGTAGTGAAACTTCATCAGTTGAGGTGGCTGGGACACGTGTTACGTATGCCCAACGACCGACTTCCTCGACGTGCTATGTTCAGTGGTATAGGAGTAGGTTGGAAGAAAGCTAGGGGAGGCCAAACCAAAACATGGCACAAGTCCATGAAGTCACTGACAAGTGGACTGAGTCATGTTGGTAGGTGCGGACTACCTGGTTGGGGACCGCGAGATGATAGCAACCGATGGTTAGAGACCCTGAATGACATAGCTCAAAATCGTTTGCAATGGCGCAGGTGCATCCACTCTCTGTGTTCTCCCAAATTCTAATCTTCTGAATTCTTCATGTCCCTTTTTTCCTCTTTCCAAATTTATTTCACTGGATTATACTCCTTGAATAACATCTCCAAACCCTAACCTTCCCGATTACTGCTTATACTCTCATTACCTCTACCACTACGGGATTTGAATCGACAACTGAATCTCTGTGCTAATGTGGTGTGGCAACTCGAACTGATGTACGTACGTACGAAGCTCTACGTTGTTACTGACTGACTGACTGACTTTGTGCTGTTACGGGTATGAGGGCTGATGTCACTTCCCGGCTGCCCGCACCGTGGAAGGGTATTTCTTGAGGAACTTGAAAAGGAAATTGGATTAGTGTTGGTCTTGACGACCTGGGGGCGTGACCGCAGAGCCCAAGGGACAACTGCTTGAGGCCGGTCGCGCACGGCCTTTTTGTGGAAGGTTTTTGACGTGTTAGCTCCGTTCTTCAAAGGGCCTTACCGCCGGAGACGGAAATCCGTGAGGTAAAGTGAGGTGTGACATTTTTAGGCTCGACCTTTTCTAACCCCACCCCTCCTTGTGGGAAGGCAGCATCGCTGCAGATGCTGGTTGTCCGAGGGAAACACCTTACTGCTGTCACACCTTTCTACAGTCAGCAGTACGACTTCGCCCTCAGACCTTGAGTTGCTGCTTTTAGTCTTACCGTTCACCAATCGACCTGCCTGGCATGGTAGAACCTGCAGGAACATATGTTCCAGCCAATATAGCTCGGTTGGGTCATCACGATAGGCAAGCCCGACCACCGCGTCAAGGTAGCAGCTTCGATCGGGTGTTGTGCTAATGTGGTATGGCAGCTTGGGCCGATGCATACATGTGCCTGGCTCTACGTTGCAGTTGACTGACTGACAAAAACTAGACCAGCAACTCGAACGCCAAGATGAACTGCGGAGCAACAACAAGACAACTAACCAGAATAGGTTTTTACCAAATAAATTAATATGCTTACATACAAAATATTAACACACAAAAAAACACCTCATAAGCGATTGGGAGAAGTCGGTTTTGTCGGTCACCCAATTTCCAATGAAACAAGAGTTAACTATTACGGTCAATCCTTGTCACTTTTTATTAGCCTGATTTATGAAACAGAAATAAGGTGGGGCGGATTGAAACCCGTGGAAATATGGCCGGATCTCGAACGCTCAAACGACTGAACCTAAGTAATTGATAAAAATTTAGTTTACGAAAAATGTTTATGTTAAGTGATAGAAATAATACACCCTTCATAGATGCCTTAAATCAGAATACAACGTAAGAAAATCTCAACACGAAAGTCCATTTCACTGAGACTATCTGTGAACCTCACATTGCACCATTTTTCTGACAGTGGCTGTATACGCGTAGCCATAAGAGAGCATTTTGAGGGGGTGAACTGACTCCCCACCCTCGACCGTACCAAAGCATTTGGAGCCATTGGAGTGGGTAGAACATTAAGTGATAATAACGAGATCTAATCTACATGCCACAAAATGACTGGATGAGTGATCATGAAACTTAATTTTTGAATACAAAACATTGGGAGCATATTTGGTGCACTTTATTAAAATTATATAGATGGGTCTTTAAAATACACGAAAGTGCATTTTAATCAGACTATCTGTGAATCTCACATTGCATCATTTTTCCCAGATAATTTTAAAGGTTACATACGGCTGTCTTAAATGTCACAAAATGATGATCATTACAACTAACCTCCAAAAGCACAACCCTTCCATGTACGACCAGTTACAAGTTGAAATGGTCGAGTTGAGATTTCTGCCTCAGCCTCCGCTACACCAATTATAACTGAAACACCCCAGCCCTTGTGACACGATTCTAAAGCTTGACGCATAGTAGCCACATTCCCGACACATTCAAAAGAATAATCACAACCTCCATCAGTTATTTCAACAATAACCTGTGATATAAAAATGACGACGGGGAATAAGCGAAAATAAGCATTTAATTAAATTTCAAACAAGCAATCTCAATAACAAACTGAAATTGTTTTCCAACAAACTGGATTTCCAAACCTAGGAATTTATCTTTTTAGTTTCGCAGTTTAAGAGATATTGTTGGTCTAAGAAATCTCACCGATTATGATGATTAACAAAAGAAATCTACTCACGGTATTACTTAGTGATACAATACTTGATGTCATCAGAAACTGTCCAGTTGTCTAATATTGCCCAACAATGTGAATGAGAAATCGACACAGGTCGTTCAAGTCCTAGCGAGGTTGAGGTCATATCTAACATGCAGAGGGGTGCAACAGAACCTAGCAGGTTGACGTCAGAGGTCTTCAAGGATAGTGGTAGTTTTAGCAACTAAGTTGATTGAGACACTAGCTAAAGTTCGGGGACTTGACGTGACCTCACCAGGATGGTTCCGATAACTGATCGTCCCGTTATACAAGGACCATTGCCCCATCGTAACCACAGATGAATAAATTTGACTAATATATCACAAATATTACTTTTGAAAATCATTCGACTTTACCTGGAGCTCATTAACAGCAAAACCAGGTTGGCTTCAAACCAATCGCGGACGTATCGTAAGACTAATCACCATCTCCCAGGTTTTAGAACAAACAATTACTAATGACCTATATGTGTTATTTTTGACCTGACGGTACCACTACTAACCGTAAACAGTGACCGTCAGAACTGCTCGCTATCCCCCTGTTCTTTACAAATCCCTTACTAAGAAACTCTCTTCACCAAATTAATGAGATTTCTTGGTTGCCAGGTGACTGACTTATCAAACTGCGGTACGCACATGACGAAGTTCTACTTGGTGGAGACAGTGACACGAAAGTTTCTTTATCGCATTGACTTATAACACAAAGATGTTTGCAATGCATTCCTCTACTTCTAAATGGACGTCACTTTAGAACTTGTATTCGCCGTCACCTAGACTAACCACAAGTAGTAAGGTAGTTGACTGAGCCGACTGCTTTACTTAACTTAGAAATTTCCTCACTCCTAGCGGGTTGATGCCTAACCAAACCTCGGCTGGCTTTAGCCTAAATACGTCACTTGTAGTATAGAAGATACTTCTGTTTCGGGATGTTTATGAATTAACGTAAACAAATTATATTGTAGAATAAGTTCCACAATGAACTGTAAAACTCAGTTTTGATTACTGAGAATGGGCACTAACAAAACAAGTGCTATGAAGCAATCGTATCTTTCTACTCGTATGGGTGATACGATGAGAAGTAGGTAAAATAATACTTAATAATTATTTATTGTAGAGTTTGTTTGGTGCATATGAAGCTATTTGTAATAACTTATACAGGAAAATTTTGAAGCAGAACATAGATGCGGTTGGTGGTCAAAATAGCTTTTCATGGCTAATGAAAAATACTGGACAGGAACAAAACAGAATATATATGGTTGCAGGCATGAAGAAACTTAACGAACCTGTTGTATCGGCTTAGAATGCTTCGCAGGATTTATGCATTCTGTAGCTCCAAAAGACAGAGCTAAATCAAACTTGTTTTCATTAATATCTATTCCAATGATTCTTCTAGCACCAGCTATTCTGCATCCCATTATGGCTGCTAATCCAACTGCTCCAAGACCCCAAACAGCACATATGCTCTCTTTCTCAACTTCTGAATATTAACATCATAAACCGAGTTGCAAAAACATTGTTACTAGCAGTATTAAAGACAGCTCCATAACCCGTGCTTATGCCACAACCCAAAAGGCCAACTTTATTCAGTGGGGCATTTTTATCAATTTTTGCTAAGCTGATTTCAGGTAGCACTGTGTATTCACTAAAAGTGCTACAGCCCATGAAGTGATGCACTTGTCTACCACGACATTTGAAACGAACAGATCCATCAGGCATGAGGCCTTTCCCTTGCGTTTCCCTACAAAGCATTGAATTAACTGAAATGTTTACCTTATCTTTGAGCATAAATTCGTTTTCTTAGATAGACAAAATTTGCATTGATTACATTGTGGAATGTATAGTGGAATGACGTGGTCTCCTGGAACAACAGACGATACACCTTGCCCAACGCTTTCTACAACACCTGCACCTTCATGTCCAAGAATGACAGGAAAAACTCCCTCAGGATCATGACCACTCAAAGTATATGCATCTGTATGACAAACTCCAGAAGAATGAATCTTGATCCTCACTTCCCCACTTGATGGAGGAGCAACTTCAACCTCTTCAATCACTAGCGGTTTACTTGGTTCCCAAGCAACAGCAGCTTGACAGATAATAGGCTATAACGTCGTTATATGAAAATAAAATCTACCTCGTTGACACAACTTGTATACATCATTAATTAGTAAAATTACTCAACGAAACGTACCTACAGTAGAAATGTAACGACAAATTAAAAAATAGTAATAGATAAGGGCGGAACAAGAACAGCTAACTAGGAAGAATTATCAAGTTAATGACTAAACTATGAAATCAACACTGCATGACATGAAAAGTATGATGGCCACATAGCACGGAATCTTTACATAATGTGCGTTATGTTGCTTCAACTTACTTTATATCAACGCTGAATCGAAGGTTCGTGTGAATAAATGACACCATTACATTACGATAGTATAATTATTGATAGCATTATTGTATGCATAACTGTCTGGTTATCTACATAATTCTAGTGTCTCTTGAATGACTCCAAATGATTATATATATTCATGCAGTCATCTGCTTTTGTAACGGAATCCAAGTGATTCGAGAATATATCCGTTACAAATCGGGAATGATCAAGCGTGCCCAAATTTACGCGTCAACGAGTAATCCCAAATGTCAACATCTTTCAATATAATCAATACCCAAACAACCAATAAAGGGTATATAAAGGCTAAGGAGTTAGAAATTAATTAAGTCAACAAGTGTACAGCCATGATTGTGCACACACATAGGACGATTAAGTATAGAATTAACGAGGAAATTTCCTAAGTCTTTTAACGATATTTGAAGGATTTCATCACCTAGGGTACTAGTTCATTTCTTATCATTTTATGGGGTCATATGGAAGGATAGGTTGATTAGCAATATGGAGTGCTTGAACTTAAGATTAATATATGGATTTTGGTATTCTTGAACTGATGTCAATTCACAGTCAAGAACTAATTCCAACTCTCAATTCTATTTGACAACGAGCTCGAAGCATCGTGCATTATGGAGATTACTGAGCACATGCAGGTCAATACCCGTAGGTTGATACCATTGGTGCGTTACCTCGATAACTTGTAATTTTGGTCATGAGCGGTGAAATCAGGACTTTGGGTGGCCGGTCCACGTTCACCTTCAAATAACGAAAGTGATGTTACCCTTGTAGCGGTAAATTAATCCCCAAAATAAGTAGCTCTGTAAGTTTTCGACAGTGGATGCTGACCACATGTTTTAATGGACTCACCTAGCTGAAGGTGCTCGGTCATGCATCCGCATCAGATCATGAGTGGGAACGCCGTGCTCAACATCTACTGCAATCGCTAGCCAGATTAGATCAGACGATTCTCTATATATTGATAGCCTATCAAATATATCTTCGAACCTCCTCGCTTCTGTCTTTTGATTTCACTTAATGGGTACGCCTCATATAAGAAGATGTTACTGATTAAAGCGTTGTCAAACTCTGAATACCTGTGGCATCTTCACCCTAATCGCGTAAAATGTAGGACAAATATTTAATGATTTTGCAACAGATGGATCATCTACTTGTAGCGGTAAATAAATCCCCAAAATAAATAGCACTAAGTTTTCGACATTGGATGCTGACCACATGTTTTAATGGACTCACCTAGCTGAAGGTGCTCGGTCATGCATCCGCATCAGATCATGAGTGGGAACGCCGTGCTCAACATCTACTGCAATCGCTAGCCAGATTAGATCAGACGATTCTCTATATATTGATAGCCTATCAAATATATCTTCGAACCTCCTCGCTTCTGTCTTTTGATTTCACTTAATGGGTACGCCTCATATAAGAAGATGTTACTGATTAAAGCGTTGTCAAACTCTGAATACCTGTGGCATCTTCACCCTAATCGCGTAAAATGTAGGACAAATATTTAATGATTTTGCAACAGATGGATCATCTACTTGTAGCGGTAAATAAATCCCCAAAATAAATAGCACTAAGTTTTCGACATTGGATGCTGACCATATGTTTTAGTGGACTCATCTAGCTGAAGGCGCTCGGTCAGGCATCCGCACCAGATCACGTGTGGTAACGCCGTGCTCAACATCAACCGCAATAGCTAGCCAGATTAGATCAGAGAATTCCGATATATTGGTCATCGCCAAATATACTCTTCCGATCTCCTCGACTCTGTCTTCTGATTTCTCTGGGTGGGAACGAAATACATTAGGTGATACTGGTAGAAGCGTTGTCAAACACTGAATACCTGTGACATCATCATACCAAATGAGACAGTTTCGCGATAATCTTTTTTATCAGTATACGTACACTATATGTCGTACCGGCCCAATCTCCCAACTTTTTTGGGGGGGGGGCAAAATCTGTGTTGCACAGTTCTCCCGACAAAAATTTCATCATCAATGCATTTTAAAACTTCTGAAGATAAAGTTACAGTCAAAAGACATTATTTTTAATATTATCATGAACTTTGGTCACAAATACTTTATGGATATTGAGGTTTTGTTTTAGTACATCAAACAGACGCGAGACAAGGAATCATTCGCTTTAAACCACTTTTTCAAAATTCTTACGCCATGCAGTAGGGTTATTTGTACTGTCCACAATTTGGAATAAAGCTTTCGTTTAGTCTGACTACAGGTAATTGTTTCTTCCAGTCTAATAATTTAGAGCCTAAGAAAATTCCCAAAAGACGGGCTAAGGCCAGCAGAGATTTAAAGTCGATAGTCTGTCCCAAATCAACCTTTTACAGAAGGTTGAGGAATTCAAAAGCTGAGTTTGATGAAAAGTATCATTTGATGACCACTAACTACTAGAACCACCGTTCAGTTGTTGTCTGAGAAGCAGGGACCACCGTAGCTACAGAGCAGTGTAACAATATCGTCCCACAATCAGCCAATGCTTCACGTAGTTACGTCCAGTGTACAACCAATACAGCCGACGGTATAATCTAGCTTTTTTTATGAACAAGTTATAGATCGTGCAACTTCAGAAATGTCCACGTCGATTCACCTATCAATGAAACAACAGCTAGATAAATTTGTAGATGAGATGATGAAAGGTGACAACGGTGAAGAAGGCTGACGGAATTCCTGATATTTTTCGGAGGTACATTCCAGAACTCCCCACATCCATCAGAAGTGTACCAAGTCGTTGTTATAGTGTGGAACCAACGTTTCTGGAGACAGAAGTATACTACCACATTGGACTAAAAACAGATTTGCAGAGGATTTCAGAAAATGGGCCACACCAAATCACTTTTAGCGAAGTGAAACTTCAACTTAACTACGACGACTTGTCCTTATTTCAAAGCTGTAACCAACATTTTCGGCCAATCCTAGGTCGCCTATTGGCTCCATTAGTTAGTGAAGTATTCATAGTTGGGATCTATGGTGATGAAGTAAAACCATCTGATTTCAACGAAATGTCCGAAGCACTTGTAACTGAGTTACAAGAATTGCTGACTTTAGGGATTTACGTAGATAAGTGTAAGGTACATTTGACAGTTAAAATGGTTGCTGTTATTTTGTGACACTCTAGCCTGAAGCTACGTCAAGTATGTTGCTGGACACCATGGTACCGCTGTCTGTGACAAGTGTCATGTTCTAGGGAGACTACTGGGAGGTCAAAGGACTTTCTCAATGATAAACACGACTTTAGAACCGATGTCACTTTTCGTAGTAGGTTCTAATCCATACTTCATCGTGGTAGAAGTTTATCCGAAAATCTACCACTAGATATGTAAAAATCTTTCCCGTGAGGACCAATGCACATTATATACTTAGGTAACACGAAAAAACTGATTTCCTTGTGAAAGGATCTAGCTGTTAAGCGACTTAGTAGGATGGATCACTGTATTTTCGCACCCATCAGTGTAGTACTGGACTTAAATAGAAATTACACTACTTGTGAATTTCAAAGGAAATGTCGTTCATTACATGAAATTTCTGTATGGAAAGCATCTGAATATCGGCTGTTTTTATTATAATTAGGTCCTCTGGTTCTTTATGATAGGTTACCATTACGAATGTACAGAAACTTCCAGCGCATGTCTTTGTCAGTTTATTTATTATCGCAGTCTAAGTTACACACCACATTCCTAAACGGTGTTCGCGTTAGATGAACAAATTATTTAGCTACGAATGCCAATATTGTAGGGAACACATAGTTCATAATGAGGATCGTGGTTTGAAGCAATTTAATAATTTGGATAAATGGCTTCCTAGTTGGGTGCTAAAAATGAATACGGATGAACTCAAAGTTGTGTAGCTGGGAAACCGTGACTAGCGGAATGCCTAAGGTTACAGTTTTGTGGCAATACTGTCTTTATAATATTGATAAGATAACCTTTCACTACAAGTACTCATTCTGGTTGTATGTTTAACTAGAGAGTATGTAAAATCACACTTGTAGCGGTAAATAAATCCCTAAAATCAATAGCTTCGTAAGTCTTCTATATTTGATGCGGACTGGATTAGTCAAATCTTATTTTGAGTAAAGCACACTACGTACGACATCATCATTGAAGAATAAAACTAGTTCGGATGTACGTTGAAATGACACGGCAAAATAACATCCTTGTTATACATTCTGACATTTGTGTCGAACATCTGCTCGCGAACTATAATTTTTACATTAGGACGTGTAAAATAAACGTATATGGAGACTATGGTTAGGTTTACAGACAATTATAGAGGCCATTTATATAACCGTAAACCCACTTTGTTTATAAATAAACACATATATAGTATTGAAATCCAATCAAAGGTAACCGAATAGGATGACAATAAATGCAAAGGAGATAGAAAACGTCAGTTAAAATGGTGAAAACCAATGTCATTAAATTCTTAAAGGTGCAGATAACCCGGCGATTTCGTAAACGGTTGATACAGAAGACCTACTATTTAAAGTTAATAGAGATGTTCAGTACGATAATACGGCGAAATATCTAGTTAGGACCTAGATTAACATTGTCTGTTTACATAATTCATGATTTCTTATAGTGCCTCGACAAATGAGGCATAAATATACATAATTCTGGCTACGAAACGATATGAGTGATATAACATAAGACCAATCTGTGTAAAAGTAATTAGAAAGTCTTATTAAAAATCATAAACACAGCACTAAATCATCTAATACATAATGATGCATGCCTGAGT